ATTCATTCATTCATTCATTCATTCATTCATTCATTCATTCATTCAAAATATTTTTACCCCACCTTTCTCCTTGAAAAGGACCCGAGGAGACTGACAACAAGGAAAGGCCGTGTTTAATGTTGAGAGATGAAAACCATGAATACACAATCGCTGTTCGGCCAGCCCGTGTGGCCCAGCCGAGCTGCGCATCTTCCAGCGTGTGTTATATAGGCGTGGGAGTAGCCCATGGGTGTGGGGCAAGTGCTGCTTGTGTGCAAGAGAACTGCTGGACAGCTCCATGGTTTAGGTACCGTATCTGGTTGTGGAGCCAGAGGTTGGGAGTTCAGTTCCCCCCCCCCTTTGCTCTTGGGGACTCCCTTCTAGCGCTAGAGTTCTAAGAGGATGATGATGATTAAAAGACAGAAAGAACAAGCAAAGGGGATGAAAGGCGAGGGTCAAAGGCAGGACATGCACCAAAAACCACACCTGATGCTCCATCGCTAAAGAGGTGTATGTGTCCTGCATCCTGCATCTTGGAGGAGCCCCACCTTCAACAATTTTGTCTGTTTCCTTTTGGCATTTGAGGCCCCTTTGCCTGTTCTTGCTGCTGTTGCTTCCTGATCCTCCTCCTGCTTTCCCTTCCTTTCCGAACCCTCCTTTCGGCCCCCCTTCATTCCCTCCCTCCCCAGAGGCTGCTTCAGCTCTGCTCCAGTAATCTCATTTCTCCCGGCAGCCACACTTTGGCATCCCCGGCACAAAAGATCGCCTGCTAATTACAAGCCGGGCGGCCTCGCCCACCCCCCAAGCAGATGGAGAGCGTAGGCATCTAGGAACCGCCCGCCCCTCCCACGATGGGCTCCTTCAAAGTCATGGGAGGTTGGGGGAAGGAGGGATGGAGGGGAGGGGGGGTCTTTGCTGAGCAGAAGCCCCTCAAGAGACACCCCCCACCCCCAGAATCCTGGAATCCCTTCATGATGGCTTGGAAGACCTGAATGGAGGACTGGGTGTGTGCCTTTCACATCTGGGCCATTAAAAACACACACACACACACATGCCACAATGAGCCATCCCAGCAAATCATTTCGTGGCTCTCTTGGAAGCTGTGCAGCCCACAGAGCAGCGGCCTTAAACGGCTGATAATCCCCCCCCCCCAGTGCGCTCAGCACCAAAAGCCGCTCACAATTAATAGGAGTGGGATTGTAAACCTCACCGAGATTGACGTCAAACCCAGCCTGCAATCTTGAGGAAATAATGTCCTTTTGTATGTGTGTGTGTGTGTGTGTGTGTGTGTGTGTGTGTGTGTGTGTGAGAGAGAGAGAGAGAGAGAGAGGAACTGGGCGGGTTTGGTTTACTGGAACACATGGGGGGAGGTTCAACCCTTTTTGGGTAATAATGCCTAGAATCTCTCCCGACAGCACAAATCTTGTCCCTACTGGTCAAGGGTGTCATCATCCACCACAAAACCCAAGGCCGTTACCCAAACTCTGCCCTCATCTTTGCTAAAAGGATTTCCCCCTTCGTCATGTCCCATACACAGACTCCTCCTAGCCATAGCTACGATTTTTGTTGTGTAAAATATTTACAATGCAGGAATGGGTGATCGTTTTATTAGACCACTTTTTAAAAAAAACACAGCTGGGCCACCTGTTTTCATTCTTATTGGTTATTTGTAGTTTATGAGTATATGTTGTATTTATTGGTTGTCGTAAACGGACCAGAAGAGGGCCTTGCACTAAATGGGGCGGTATGTAAATTAATGAAATAAATTACAAAATACATAAATAATCAAGATTGTTGTAGCGGTCAGAGAGTTGAGGGGGGGGGAGATCCAGCCTGTGTCATGAACCACGAGCGCTTGGGTTGAGTCAGGCCCTCTCCTACCTCATCGGAAAGTGGGGAGCTGGAGACCCATTTATCCTGCCTTCCGGGTTTGCCAGAAGGAAGGTGGGATGGAAATGTAACGGTGGCAAATATCCTGTTTCAGAATACCACCATCGTAAAGGGCAACATTTTCCCCTCTCAATTTCCTGGCCATTTGTTGTGCTCCTGGGCACACCACTGGGTGTGTGACTTGTCTGTATCTGAGTAAAGGATGGATGCCTGAAATGATCATGCATGCCAGTTACGAGAGGTGTCCAGATTTGGCCTTTTGGACTACATGTCCCAGAATCCCTCATCCTGGGTGCTGTAGTACAAAAATACGAATCTGCCCCTTATACTAGTTGTCAGTTTTCTGGTTCAAACAATGCAGTGGCAATAGAGATTCAAGCCAATAAACAATATGAGAATAGAGAAACCTTCTGATCTAACTTCCTCCCTCTCTCTTTCTCTTCCTTCCTTCCTTCCTGTTTTTCCCTGTCTATCTTTAACCCTTCCTTCCTTCCTTCCTTCCTTCCTTCCTCCCTTCCTCCCTCCCTCTCTCTTTCTCTTCCTTCCTCTCTCTCTTCCTTCCTTCCACTTTCTCTTCCTTCTTTCCTTCCTTCCTCTCTCTTTCTCTTCCTTCCTTCCTTCCTTCCTTCCTCTCTTTTTCTTTTCCTTCCTCTCTCTTTCTCTTCCTTCCTTCCTTCCTTCCTTCCTTCCTTCCTTCCTTCCTTCCTTCCTTCCTTCCTTCCT